TACGTGAGCAAACGGAGAGCGCGTGTACACGTAAGGCACACACACGTTGCGTGAGTTTGCCAAGTCGCGCGCTCGGGGGAAATGATATAACGCCGGGCCCGGCCAACTTTAATTGCACATACAATAAGATTATGCAAATAAACGCGAGAGCCGCGCTTAATGCTCTGGAAGAACAATTTGGTTAAACAGCTCCGATGCGCACCGACGTCTTTTCACCGGATTACACCGATAAATCAATGCAGCGTCTGTTGATCTCCCAAAATCAAGCCAAACCTATTAGGGCAGCGCAAACCCGAACGAAAGAGGAGTAGGAGGAGGAAGATCTCAGAGGAGTGGAATCGGAAATAACGTTCATCGAGGAATTTATGGCGGAGAAAGGTGCATTTTCTAATTACGAATTAGCCTCGCCCCATTTCGCGCGTGACTCGATTTACATAGAGGCTCTTGGTGTCCTCTCTAGAGTGGTTTGACGAGTCGATAGCACCCCCCACCCCCTCGGCCTCGAAGGACTTTTACACTCGCTGGAACAAAATACCAACGTCCATCGGGGCTTGAAAATTCGCTCGCTTATTTCCACAGCGAGGACTCGTACGGCTCGGCGAGCTGGCCGATATGGAGCGGACGCGACAAACGCTCCGCAAATTAATCGAAACGTACGACCTGGAAGCGCACAATGAATAATCAAACGTAATGATTACGCGGGCGGCCGGAGCATCGTCGTGGCTTTATATAAATCGAGCGATAGCGGCAGTGGCGTCGATTTGAATATGATATTGAATTAATTACCGATGCCGGGGCGCGTGTGACCCTTGAAATGGCAAAAAAAACTCCTCCTACCCTGCACATGCTCTCGCGATAAACAATCGAGGGAACCGCGCGTGTGCGAATGCACCGTAGAGAGAGAGAGAGAGAACCTGGGTTTACAATATGAATAACCGATGAATTATGTAGCGGGTCCCAGGTTATCGTGCTCCGTGCGTTTGATTTTCGCTTTGGTGTGTATTTGTCACGCGTGCGTGCGGGTCCCCACCGCGGAAGAACCGAGGGCTTTCAGGTGCAAATTATACTTGCTTTCTTTTGTAATTCTGTAAATGTAGTTTTTTTTCGGGTTCCAGTATCGGAAGTTTATGACCATTTTTGCGTACACGTGGGTCATGAGTACACACGCAAAAGCTGCGTTTCGATGCACCTGTCCTACTGTCCTACACACGTAGGAATGTAGCTGACGTGACTGAAGCGAGCAGTGGACCAATGAGCGAGAAGAGATACTCTTAGTTTTTCCGTTTAATACTTCATCGGCAATTATTTTCAAACTCAATTAAACACCTCTGTCAGACGCGAAGTGTTCCGCAGCCAAATTTCACTAGTATCTGTGCACCCTGTTAACAGTAGAGCACGTTGCGGAAATTCTTCTAAAATTAACTGTACTTGTTAATGAGAGTTAATAAATGCCACGTCGATGTAACTTTACACCATCCAACTGTAAATTTTATATTGGTATTTCGGTATTAATGTAGTAAGGGAAGGTACCATGTTAGTTGAAAACGCTTGGGCACAAGAATAGCAGGTGTCAAGTATTGAGGACACGAGTTTATAATATAGGTACAGTGTATAATAACGATTCTTTCATGCAGGGGACGCACCGAGGGGATATATATATATATATATATTAGGTCGCAGACGAAACAGTTCCAAACACATTATACTTCGGAGTGACAGACTGTGAGCTCTTGAGAAGAAAAGGATGAAGAAAAAAGGAAAAGAACCGGCGTTGGAGGAAAAAAATGGAGAAAGGCGACGAGAGGTCGAACAAAAAGCACCAAGGAGGAGTAGTCGCAGGAGTGGAATCAGCAGAAACAGCTATGGCTTTTTTTTTTTTTTTTTTTTTTTGCCAACGCTCCGTAAACAAGAGCTAGAGATGATCAAGCTTGTTAAGAGACCCACACGCGAGCCTGTCTCTCGAGTGTATACCTTGGCATCTTTGTTTTGCGCTAAAGTGACCAGACAGCCGTGAAAGAGCCAGAGAGAAGAGTCGCACTCATTTGACTGACTGAGACGGCCTATACGGCTCATAATTGGGAAAGCCGAAGGATCCCGTCTTGCTCCTTCACGCGCTAGCGAGTCTGTGTAGCCCCTCGCGTCCTCTTTCTTCGTCTCTGCAACTTTGCTCGTGTACATATACTTTGAAAGGGCTCTTTGCTCGTTTTGACCAAGATTTTTGCTCAAATTTTTCGAAACTTTTGACGAAGGTGAACCATGTAGTGGCTGCAATTACTGACTTTAAAGTAAAGGTACAAAGCTGGCTAATTATTTGTTGATTCATCTCGACAAAGTTGTTTATACAACTCAACGAAAGACAAACAATACAGGCTGGCTTTATTTGCGATCTGGGTATAAAAATGTGGAATAACCCAGCTCATTAATCGCAAAACAAATTTACAATTGCTAAGCTTCCGTATTGGAAGTAATCCCCAAATAAATTTATTGTTGGTGATAAGATCGGCGACATTTGAATTTCCATTAAATTATGGAAATGTATGTTACATTGCTGAGAATTAAAAAAAAAAAGAAAAGTGGGAGAAACCCTTCATCCCGTCGTCAATAATACAACAGAATCTTGGTGGTTTCCCTCAAGTTGGCGTTGGCGCTTACAAAACAGGTAGCACCGATGAAAAATACGACGGTGCTGCGCCTCAACTGGCATTAGCGTCACGCAAATAAATACAGCCCGTTCGTTCCGTTTGGAATAATGGCCCCTTTCCCCTGGAGAAATGCACACACACCTCAGCTGGAAAAAAATAGTGCAATCACAAATAAACCATTCAAAGCTTGTCTGTTCCCTGGGATTAATAATTTCCACCCTCTCGTTTTTCTTTCCCAGCCGAGATGCAACTTTTTCAGCTTCACATCCAAGTGACAATCAGCACTGATTACCGTTTTTGTTTTTTTATTTCACCGTAAAACGAGATTGCGAAAAGTAAACTGCAAAATCCAATCGTTTAACGCCCATTACGCATAAATTCGCGCCGGCCGCGAATAAAAGTGTTTGCACCATGCAAATATAGACAGTGGACAAACATTGGTCCGCTCGAATGAAATTTCGGATGCACCACCTAAACACATATATCCCCCGTCGGAAAAAAGGAAGGTAGAATAATAAATATTTGAAGGACGAAAAACGCGATGGAATAATCTTTATGTCCCATACTATTGTATTCTATCGTCGGTACAGAGCGAAGCGAACGAAGCCGCGCACAATGCCATGCTAATTGCGGATTTGGAGAGCCTCCTTGAGCCATCTAGACTCGTAATGCCGCAAAGAGAGCTCATAGACGCGAATTTAAATACGCTTTAGTTCACGTTTTTGGTGCAGCTGCTGGTGATGAGCTTTGCCGCGTGCGAAATAAAACCGAAGCGATGATTAAAGCCGCCTCTGTTTCCAGCGAGCGAAACAAAGGGGGAGAAAAGGAAAAGAGAGGCGCGAAACGTATTTACATCGATTGTTGCGGGCACTCCATCGGTGTGCATGGCTCGTTGAGGCCAAGTTATGAAAATTATCCACGTCATCGACCTACTCCGGCTCCCCGGGAGAGCTCGTCCGTGGGGGCTTTGTGAAAACTTGAAATTGATAAAAGGACCGTACACACGAGCCTCGATACCGAGGAGCAACTTTGGCGCGCTTGCGCGTCGTCACTCGAGTACAGTATGGACTTTGGTGTAGTGCCCTTATCCGCCCGATCGACATTAGTCTGTCACTGGCACTGATAAAGGCTCCTCTCGGGCGTGTCGAGTTTAGTGGCTCGTTCTTAGTCGTATTTTCTCTCTTAGCTTGGCGCGATAACGATGAAATGTATCAAACGCGGTAGGGAGTGGAAACGCATGCTTTGGCTGGTTCGTGGAAACCAAAATGCCTCGTGGTTTCCACGCGGTAACTTGGAACCCTGCCATCAAAGCCGAAATTTCGAAGCTAAAAATTTCAATATCTTGGCCAGGTTAAGTAAGAAAAAAAAAAATCAATCAGTCGGTGCCTTATATATCGTCCAGTGAGGATAGAGGCAGAGTCGGTAGGTGCATAAAAAGTTTCCGAGTGCAGGGGAAATCGCATTATTCGGCCATCAGCGAGAGCACCAATCAAAGATCGTTTTCCGGGAGACTCGGGTCTGACGCTTCCGCGCGAGAATGGCTATCCTCTCTGCCATCGAAAGCGAATAGTCCTCCCTAATGGAAGTCAAGAGCGCGAGCACGCACTTGTAAATAAGAAAATTCGATCGTCGTTGTTCCTCACCCCCCACCCTACCGTGGGAGGGGACCATGTTTTTTTTATCCTCTCGCCTGCCCGAACTTCGGAAGGACGAGCGTCGCTTAATTTATGTTTCGACAGAGTTTCGCAAAATTATTGAATCCAAAGTTTTTCGACTCCGCGCGGGGCAAGAGGTGACTCTCTCCGGCACTGAATTTTAATGCGATTTTAAGTTCATGCCAAGAACTCCCCCCCCCCTCACCTCAGCCCCGGACCCTCTTTTCTTATCCTTTTTAGCTTGATTTCCCGCCAGGAAGGTTTATTCGTCTCGATTAGGGAACTTTCCCGAATTCCCCGAGTGGGTATACGCACGATTTTGCAAAAAATACCACATGCTCCTGCAGTTGACTGAAGGACGTATAACTGTTGCTCCGCGCCTTGGCAAAGTCAAGTTTTCCCAGTCAAAGCGAAATTATATTAGTCTGGTTTATGAATTGCTTGGCCGTGAAACTCGCACATTCACCAGGATATGCTTTTATCCGGAGACCCTGGACTCCTGCGTGCAACACACTTACCGATGTCCAAGGATCAACACCATGTCATTTTTTTTCAAATGGAATTTTGTACTGATAAAAAAAAAAAAAAAAAGAAAAAACAGTAATGCTCGGAATGAAAAAAGTGTTTGATGAAAAAACCCAGCTGCCCCGCTGGGGTGAGGGTTGGCACGTATTTTTTAATAAAAACAAACTTGTTTACTCACCACGCCCTCGCCGATGTTGTGAACGACGCAGGGCAGATGTGCCGTCGAGCCGGACTGCGATCGAATGACCGTCGAGTTGTGGGTGCCGAAGCTCATGGGCAGCGTGGGCGGCAGGTCGACGTCCAGGGGCTTGAGCGTCCTGTCCAGTGTATTAGCATTCGGGCCGACGACTTCGGCTCCGACCGACGAGTGCTCTGGAATGACGGTAGGAAAGAAAAATGAGGCTTGGCCTTATTTATTTTTTTCCTTGGAATTCCCTAAGTAGGAGTGAAGTAGTGCACGCGAGGGAGAGGTCGATGGAGGAAACGATCGGAAAGTCCTTTCTCCCCCCCCCCCTCCTTTTTTTACTCGCGATTTGTGCGCTGGTAATTTTTCTGGAGACTTTCTCGGCTTTTGCTTTTTTTCCAACTTTGCTCGTCCATTTTCTGGAGACCTTCTGGCTTTTCTGATTTATGGAGTGGGCGGGCGAGCGGAAGGACGTTTGTCTGCTTTAATTTTGATTCACAGAGGCTTCGACGTGCGGCCAGAGGATCCCTTTTTNTTTTTTTTTTTTTTTTTTTTTTTTTTTTTTTTTTTTTTTAAGGCTGCCGCAAGTCGTTTGTAAGATAATTTTTAACCGCTCCATTTTATGGTGGACCTTTTCTTTTTTTCCAACGGCCCATTTGGATGCTGGAAGTAATACTTTTTTCGAGGCTAAAATTCTTTCGTTTTGTACCGTATAGTTAAGAAACGTTGACGTGAGACAATAATGCCAACGAAAAAATGCCCTCCTGCGCGATTGTAACAATAAGACGAGAACAAAACTTTGTGCTCGTAAGCGCAGACAAAAAAAAGAAAAACGAAAATCCACAGGCAAACACGGTAACGGCACTTGATCTGTAAATGAAATCGAGAGAGTATACGGGAAAAAAAGTTGGTCGCAATTGAGAAGTAAATTATCGCCAATGAGAATAATATAAGCTGGGATCGTAAAAGTAATTCGCGGCTGGGTGTAAAAACGCTCAGGCGAGTGTACTTCCTCTCGCCGGAGAGAAGAAAGAGGGAGGGAGGGAGGGTCGTTACCGTAACCACCGAGAATCGCAGCATTCGAGGGTGCGACGAGAAAAAAGGGCAACGCCAAGGCGGTTAAGGGGATTTCGGAGATTCCGGATGACGCCCAAGCTGCTACTTTTAAATGTATATGCATACGCATAAACGCTCTCGTCGAATTCCAACGCGTGGATTTTCACGAGCGGAAGACCCTCCGGGAAATTTGCATCGCTATGCGCGCTCTGCGGAACTACATTGCGTTAATTGAGGAAAGATAGTGCTCCTCCGGGAATGTTTTTTTTTTCTTTTATTGCGCGCGTGTGTGGCCACCTTTTGTTTTTATTTAACGAGCATTTATACGTATATAACCGAAACGTGTCATTAAAAAATTCCTCTGTTTGGAAAAATAACTGAGTCGCTGTACTCGTGCGTAAAACATCCGTCAAGACAAGTATCTCTTCTTTCCTTCGCGGCGTAGAATCACAGGGGCATTCATCTCCCCCTCCTCGGGCTTGCATAACAATGAATTACCGGGCGCCGCACTTTTTTTCCCCCACTAACGCGGTATCATTAATTTCGCTCTGCCAAATTTAATCGCGGCCTCCACATATCTGCGTCCAGACTGTTTCCTCTTTTTTCTTCCAGCCACACGGAAATCCGCGATATGATGGAAAAAAATTCGCGCTCACCGCCGGAAAAATTCTCTTTATTTTTCGCACTCGGGGCTCTCGCGTCTGCTAGAACTCGCGTTCTTCCCGCACCCCGAGCTCCGAGAGGCGTGGATTTTATTAATCCGGCTCGCATGTTTCGTCGCCCACATAGTGTTATTTGCGTTAGTTTTTTTATTCTCTTCCCTTTTCTCAAACGACAGTATGTTGCGACTATCAAACATAAGCATTATGCGTTCGATCTAAATTTTATTTTGATCTCAAAGATACATACATTACAAGTCCAAAATTTTTTTTCCATTTGCCCCAAACATGTTTCAGTAGATCAGCCAAACTTTGAAAATTCAATAATAATAATAACGCTACTCTGATGTGTGTAATCAAAAAGCTAGAGTTGTTGGTTCGGAAAACGCGCCCTTGCCTGCTCAAAGAAGCGATAATTTTCAATTCGTAGTCTCCTTTGACTCGCAAAACAAGCTTTTCTCCGTATGGAGCAACGAAGCGGGCATGTCTGACCAAACTCGATCGTTACTACTGCCACGCTCTAAAGCCACTCGCACGAGCCATTCAAACGCCTCTTTGTCCGTAAAATCAAAACAAAGTAATGTACATGTGCGTAATTAGGCCACGCAAAGCGTCTGATTAACATGAGTAATGATCCCAGGTGTAATTGGAGGCGAGCGGCGCTCGAAGGGGAGCATAATCAGACACTTCATCTGCGCTCATATCGCGCGCGCTCACGAAGACAGGACGCAGAGGGAAAAAGAGAAAAACGAGGAACTCGTGATTGCAATTCCAATGCGTGCGACCCCCTCCGGCTCCGTGTTCCCGTGGAAGAATTAGCCGGACGGACGTTGTCCTCGTTGCGGAGGGAAAAAGGAGAAAAGCAGGGCAAACACGTGCGAGAGAGACTTTCCTCGATGTGAAGGAAAAAAGGGTAGGTAAGGGTGGTTTGCTCTCTGCGTTACTGACCCCCATTCGTACGTGGCCGAAAAACGAGACTGGAAAGACAAAAAATAAGAACCACCGAGTAAGGGCAGAGGGAAGGGGGGGGGGACTAAACGAATTAGGGTAATTTCAGAGCGGCGCATTTTGCGGGGGACAAACACGAGCTGCTACTGCCTTTGAATTTTCTCTGGGCGCGTTTGGACCGCGTTGCCTCCATCGGTGTGTAATTTGGCCTTTGTCTTTCGTCCCTGCGGCCAGCGATGTGCGCTAGTAAATAAGGATAATGCGCGCCAGCTCTGTTTCCCTCCTTTCCCCCCCCCCTTCAAAGAGACGCCAGCGTGCATGCTCTTCAACCTTTTTACCGTGTGATTAAGACGCGTTACTTTGCTCCCAGGGTACAACGCGAACAAGGCGTTTTTGCGCCCCACCTCGGCATTAGCATAGATTAAGCCACGCTCTCCAGTCTATTCTGCATCTGCCGCATCTCTCTTTCTCTTTGCTCTAATGTTGTCACAACGCCCCTTTTTCCTCCCATACGCGAGTGTGCTACAAGAAACGGGAGCTATGGAGATTTTCGCAGCCACGTATAAAGTGAGCGCTGTTGGCACGAGATCGCCCGCTGATTAGTTGTTATCTGCTAGGAAAATATGTTTTCAGTGATTCGTTAACTGTGTATATAGTGTAGCCTTATTTAAGCAAGGAAAAAAAACAAAGCCAGACGAGAGGCGCACCGATGCAATCTTGGCTCCTCTTTGTTTTCTCATACACTTGCGCACCGCACCTAACACCGGAGCTCATCAACATCAGCGTTACGGAGCTGCTTCTTCTTCCAAAAAGTGTAGTTTTCGTCCAAATTTATTATCACGCACGTACCTCCGCAATTGACTCCTCGCGCCTCTTCGTTATAACAGTGTCACACACGTTATTAGCGCAAGGTACACAACAAGCCCTGCCGAAAGGTAGCAGTCTCCCTTCGTTTTTTTTCATCCCCCGCTCTTCTTTCCACGTAACGGTAATTTCTCTCTCCGGTGACACTCTCGGCTCCTCTTACCTCCATCCATCCATCCGTGCTTGCTCACATTTCCGGTAACGAACGCCTGGAGGGAGGAGGGATACCCGCGTACGCGAGTCGAGGCACGGAGCTAAGGATCATAAAGTGGGAGGAAACAAAAAAAAAAAAAAAAAAAAAAAAAAAAAGGGACGAGCGTGTCGAGGGACACAATGACAGTGCCGCTTACGCGAAACAGGTACTTTCGGGCGCTGCCGGGGCCTGTCGCTCGGCCGAGTAAATAGAGCCCGGGCTGTCGCAGCTTTTTTTTTTTTTTTTTTGTTTTTGCGGCAGTTTTTCTCAGTCTCTCTCTCGGAGCCACCACGCCACCGAGCTTTTACTACCGGGTGTATAAATATTTTGCCCCTCCTCTCTGCACATAGACACTAACGAAAGTGTGTATACATACAGCTCCCCTTTTTTTTTGGACGCCCACTGCCTGGTGAAACAATGCGGGCGGAAGCGCTCTGGTTGTTTTTTGGGGCTGTACACGGTGATACGCCGCAGATTGAATCGGCCGCGACGAGTGTTGATGTCTCGGGGATGGCTTGTTTTTTTCCCGCCTCCTTTCATCGCAATCCACCCTTTTTTTTCACCCGCGTTGAGAGTCACTTGATCAGCGCGACTATACGCTGCTTGGGCTTCTCCTTTGGAGTGAGTTTAACATGGTTAAGATGATGCTTCACTGGATGGTGAGGGGGAGATCCAGCCCACGCGAGGCCTGACGAAACGAGTGTTTTCACAAAAGCCACTACTTGCTTTTACCTCGTAATGGAAACGCTCAAAGCAACTGGACGGTGGAGGGTTTCAGCAATCCCAATTAATTTGAATGGCCAAAGAGAACTTGTGTAGGAAGCGCTTCGAAACGTTTGGGCTCTCGAGCTCTTTTGAAAAATCCTCTGCAAATGATGCGGCAGAGCTTATCCTGTGTGATGTCGGTACACACGCCAAAGAGCACGAGTGAGTCCACATTCGAGAGAAAAAACGAAACGCAAAGCAACATCAGCTCCACGTGTGCGCGTGAAACGGGTTTCTCGTGGTATAGTGGGTAAATGCACTTTGGCTCACGAGAAAGCCTTAAAGTTTACCCTCGATCATTAGAAGTAATGGTGCAGAATGAAAAAAGAAAAAAAAAAGCAGCATTAGACAAAAGAGCGCATAATCCGGTAAATCAGACCTAAAAGCAAAGCGAGCGCGGCTGGAGGGTAAAGCGCGAGAGATGCGCTTTTTCACGAGACAATTGCGCGATACGCGTCGTTATGCGGCGGGGGGATGAAGGAGAGGTCCTGTGCGTTGGAATGGAAAAACGCCGAGGTGACAAAGGAGGCACGCACTGCTCCAGGCAGGTTATTTATCAAGCGCTGTCGCTTAGCTCTCTTATTCTTGCTCTCGTGCACAATACACTGGCATTGAATCCTCAACCGTGTGACAACCAGGGACCTTCTCGGTGACGAGGATTTTTATTCATGCGCGGTGTTCCGCTCGAAGGTCAGAGAGAAAGAGCTCTTTGGTGAGAAATTGCGAGTGCCTCGCTGTATGGACGATAATGCGGTTGTAGATGAGGGTGGGAGGAAAAAAAAAAAACAACCGTAAGTAACAAAGTTTTTGATTTATCGGTCGGAGGGAGCCCCGCGGTGGATCGGCTTATTAGCACTTTTTGATTTTATCCGTTCGGGTCCCTCCTCCCGCTAACTGTGTTAGCGAGCTTGGGGGGGTGGCTGTGAAAAATGATGATGTAACGCAAAAACAGCACTCGAAACTCATTTACGTGCAAATTTTCCCATCCTGCTCGTGGTTCGAGGTGGAAAGAAAAAAAAAAAGGTACAAGGGCAGCCGTGGAAAATTCACTTCGAGCGAGGGACGATAAAACGCAGCGCCGAAAATTCAGCATCAAAGTGTTAACGCACTCTGGAAATTTCCCCTCGCGTGGGAGGTTGAGAAAAAATAATAGGTACAAAAATTCACGCGCCAGCGAGCCGGGAAAACCTACTGCTCGAGGAAAAACGCCACTCCGGCTTATTCTTGAGTTTATTTAGTAGTCGGCGCGTGTTTACAAGATCGTGGATGTACCACCACGTCACTGGTGTATATTTCATAAAGAATTTAGTGGCGAGTAAATCACGTTGTCGGGCCGGGAGAAAACGCGGAAGGGACGAGATATGTCGTCCTCGGCGAGCTGCGGAAAAAAAGAGATACACATCATCATCCCCTCTTTTTTCCAAAAAAGGGGGAAAAAAAATTAATGATCATAACGAAATTGGTGGGTGGACAAATGAAAAAAGCTCCCAAGAGACGAAGGAACGAAGGGGGACAACCACCGCTGGAACCGGGACATACGCGATTCTTCTAATTAAAATATGCATCCTGCGTAACTTTCGATGCGTACCCGCTTTTTCGGAGATTAAAAGGAGAGGACGATGTTTTCAACGAGACCCAAATGTTTTTTCAAAACTTTCTGATTTCCGGCTAATTTTGCAAAAATTTCCATTATGTCTCGCGGAAAAATATCTCGTTACCGTGAGCTCTCTCGTGGGGTCCTGAAATTATTATCTCACGCGTCGAGGAAAAGTTCCCGGAATGCCTCTGATGAGCTTTCTTTTCTGGAACATTATATGACGAGCAGAGTTACTAGCCACGTAAATTTTGAAATTTTGAATTTACTCACGATCATATGAGCTTTTCAAGCGCTCTTGTGTAACTTCCCAAGCGTGTATTCGTGCAACTTTCGACGTAACATTTACTCAATTTTGATGAATATTCGACCCACGATTGGCGCACAACGGAAAAAACGCAATATCAGTATCAAATGTAATTAAAATTATATCAAACTCGCGTATTTACACGTACAGCTCGCAGTAATGAACCCCGTGCACGCATAGGTATTTCATCCGAAATGACGTTTGGTAAACATCGATCACCGATGAAAGGCCGTTCTACCGCGTCTCGTCGAATCGTACGAAGATACATATTAATTATCCCTTCGATCCCACACAAGTGCTTTTGACGTCACACCCAAAATAGTACAGCTTTCGATCAATGCTCGATTCGATCGGCTACACGCCCTCCTTTGCGACGCGAGAGAGGAGTAAAGGAGTTATCTCGATAGACTAAGCCGAGGAAAGAAAAAAGGCGGAAACACGTGGGCCAAGTTCTTTCTGTAGTCGCTGTGTGAGACAAGTGGCAAAAACGATTCAGGCAACGGAAGTACGAACAAAGAGTTGAGGATCCGATCCACGCGTGTCGGTGGCGCTCGTGCATAAGGATAAAATCCCCTTCTTCCCCCCCCCCCAGCAGCAGGAGAAAGGACAGGAGAAGAAAAAGCGGAGTAGTGTCGAGTGCAAGGCCACACGGGTTTCTTCTTCTTCGAGTTAAAAGGAAGGAGCTTCGGGGGGAAAATCCGCAAATTGCCGTCACGTCGCACGGCAGACCAGCCGCACGGAGAAAATTTCCACGGAGCCCCCGAACACTCAATTTCCCGAAAGATCATTTATTTTTCGCGTCAAAAGTTCCTCGCGAGTTTATATATTATGCGAGCTGTCCCCTCCCGGAGGCCGACAATTTTCCCTTTTGAACTTTCTCCCCCGTGGCAGAAGTAAACCAAGCCGGCGGATTCCCCGAAACGACAGTGGACAGGTCTCGATTCTTCCTCAGCTATTTCCCTCCACCTTTCGACCCCATCCGAACTTTAAATATCGGTGCACCCTCCCTTTGCGCACAATAATGGCCGAGGTGGCTTTTTTCGAGATGAACCATATTTCACTCTCGCGTCGACGGCGTATTGTGATACATGGCTCGTTCACCCCCCAGCCCCCGAGTGACGTTAATAACGTTCACGCGCCGTCGAATCTAATGAAATGTCTCCTTTCTTCCAGCCCTGAGATATGTAGCCGCAGTTTTGAAAAAAAAAAAAAAAAAAAAAAAAATCATGAAATTTATGGTGAAATTTTCGTTTCCATCCATCCTTCCCTGCAACGATCGCACCCTTTCAACCGAGGGCCGATAGTAAGCCGCGAGAGGAAGTCGAATGGAAAGAGTGATAAATAAATTCTCCAGACGCGGTCCAACAAAGGAGGCTTTTATCGGCCCGGCCCCGGAAATTGACAAGTCTAGACTGTGACAGAGTTTTTCTCTCGCGCGCCTGTCACCTCTCCTAAGTGGGTATGGAAAAAAATTGTATACAAGCGAAACGAAGCCAGCGAGTTATACTCTGTGAAACGGAAGGTGGTATTTTTCGTTTTGAAAGTAATACCGTTGGAAAGGGTAGTGCCAACATCTTGCGGGATCGATGCATCTTTGAAATATGAAAATCCATCGGATCAGGGAGATCTCCGGGATGGATGTGTAAAGCAGATTTGGCCTCGTGGCGTTGGGAAATGCGAAATTGAAAGAAAAAAAAAAAAAAAAGAAAAATCGCGTCAGGCGCGAGTTCATCGAAATTCGGGGGAAACAGAGGGAAAAATTCCAGCCAGGAGGGATAAATCATGGCCCCGGCCCAGGAAAGCCGACTCTACTAATTCACTTCGACTCTATCGGATTTAATGGTTTACCGCGCGCAGTGTGCACTTGAGCTCTAATTGAGATTAAGCCTCCAGAGGAGTATGTACACTGCGAGCTTTCTGCTCGTGGACGTATACTTTCACAACCACTGGGTCCTCTCTGATCCCCGAATTTTACGAGTAGGCCGGCAATAAAAAAAATAAAGAAAGAAAGGAAAAAAGACGGTACAAGTCCGGCCAAGTAGGGCAAAGGCGGGCGCAAAGTTTGTCACTGCTAATCCGAAGGGAGAGCCAATGCTCCCGGGCAAAATGATCAAGTGCAGCCCGTATACATTAGCCTGCCAAGAGGGAGCACGTGGACACGAAAAACACAAGAAGGCATTAAATAAATCAGCCCTCCCACGCGCCCATTAACCTTGGCTTCGTTTCCCCACCCCCCTCACCCTGGTTTTTTATGTACACCCACCCCCCCGTCCACCACGATAAGACAGAGGGGTATAAGCACTCACCACTCGGACCATTGAGGCAGTTGAGCGCTAGCCCGAGCAGCAGGAGTCGATGACTGAGGCGTTGCTGTTGGTGATGCTGCTGCTGGTGGTGGTATCTCGGCTGCTGGTTACCGCCGCTTCTCGCGGAGGAGCTGCTCGGCGCCTTCGGGGCCATTCTCGCTCGGCGCCAGACGACTCGGCTGCCAGATCCCTGAAACATAGGATTTTACGTTCATAATACACGTACACACAGAATCGCAACGCTACTGATATCGAGGGAGTGGGAGAGGGCTCTTCTTAGTTGTGAATTTTTCCCGCAATCTCTGTCAGAGGACTCCGTAAGGCGTGTGCCGTGGAAATTGTTCGGTACTGCTACGTTTTTCCACCCTTTTTCGTTTTGCCACACTCTTTTTTTTGTCCACAGGGTGGCTTTTAATTAGATTTTGGGGGAGGGGGAGACTCGTTTATCGTCGGATCGATTTAGATGGGTCACCGAAGATCCGGGATTGCTCCTGGAATGAACTCCCGGCGAAAAATGGGAAGAAGTGGTACTAGAGGCTGTAAAGGTCGACTCTCAAGGTAACGCTCTATTGGTAGCTATTAGCCGCGCCCGAGATTGTAACGATTGTTCCGCTTGGCTTGCCACTTTTTACCGACTCTTTTATTCCCCCCCCCCTTCGCCATTCTTTTCGTTGAAAACAACCGTAGCGTCGTGTAATAATCGATACGCTCGCAAATTACTTGCTCGGGTAGATGATTAAAATTGCAAGAGTAAAATCAATCCACGCGGTCTACATTGCAGCATTTAATCACTCGAGCCGTAAATTTATTAAAACCCTTCCTCCACGTGAAAGAGGATTGCGCTGGAAATGATTTTGTACTTTTTCTAGTTTTTAATACAATCAGAAACGGCAGCTCCGCGGTTGATAACATTCAATCCGAGCACGGAAAGTTTTGTAATACCTCCGTACGTACCTGAAGGGCTCTTACACTTGTACCGCTCTGGTATTCCCTTTTCAACGCGCAGCACTTTAATTTCCCAGAGAAACTCTCCGAGGACTTGTTGTGCGATTTTTCGAAAAGTGGGCTTGAAAAATCATCTCGCGCAGGTGGACGCAGGACCGCGCCTCGTAATTAAAAATGACAATGGGACCATTATACCCAGTGTGTAGCTTCCACCCGCTGGTTGGTTGCGAAATTGCGCGTAACGCGTCCTACAGGCGACCGCAAATCATCCATCAAGTCCAGTGTCCGTGTGGATATCGTACACGGGCGTTTTTTCCTCGAATGTAGCAATAGCTCGGCGATTTTTTGCGCAGCGCTGCACACAGCAATCACAAACTTTTTTTCCTTTAACGGAGTTGATCGAAAAAAAAAAAAAAAAAAAAAAAAATATGTGGAGCACTGCAGCCAACGAGGGCGAGGAGAAAAAAACGATCCGATTCCCCTTTCCCAAAAGCAATTAGCATCAAGCTACGCGTCGCACATCCCCAAATAGCCAGTCAGTCGGTCACCCTTCGGTACACCCGTGAGCACGCCCGATCGAGCAAAAATTTAAGCGAGACTTTTTTATACGCACGCCCCGAGGTAACTAGGTCGTACGGAAAATGCCAGGGAGAGAGAGAGAGTACGACAATAAGAGGCTCAAATGCCTTCCTTCGACTCGTGCGCACATACATACGTATATACAAGCGTGCAAGTGTGTATGTGCGCCGACCGCAGGCTGTCGCAACAACAGCAGCTTTTCTCCTCGCCCCTTCTTGCGTCGATATCTGCCTTCCTTGCGATCCCTTTCGCCGCATTGTATACCAACTACGGCTCCCGTGCTCTTTGGCCTCCCCCCCCCTGCACAAAGCGAGTACCATTTCTCCTTCTGTCTCCTCTTTCCGTGTGGTCTGGTGTCTTTACGCTTCACGTTGTAATCCGTTTTACCTCGTCAAGGGAGGAAAAGTCGAGATGAAGATCGTGCATGTATACGCCTGTCTATCCCTTTGACGTTTGTGATTTTCGTTTGTGCGTGCGCAGTACAAGTAAATATTATCTCGTATTTTCCGTCATCCCTGCACTACGAGAGAAAGAAACATTTCGAGGAACAAATGATTTACAACAGAGTTACGACCCCCCATTTCTTCAATTAAGCGAGTGCCTTGACGGTGTACGAGTCTTTTGAGGGGAAAAAAAAGAGTTTCCTGGAGACGCACGATCTCGATGTATGTCGAAAGTTCAGAATCAGACGATACAACCAAACTGAGCCATTGCGAAGATTTTCCGAGCCCTCGAGGGAGGCGTTTTTTTTCCCGTCTCTTCAGTCCCATTTGTTTCGCCCAGCAAAGATTTAGCAAAGACGGCCAAAGCCGAGACCCTCACGAGCCGAGAGATTCACCCGTCGCGTAGAAACAAAAGTGCCGACATAATTTACCGTACTCGGTGAAGTCGTTCGCCTGTTTCTGCTGTAGGTAATATCGGACGGTAAATTAATAAACGATGCAGGCAAAAGAAAATCGAAGCCCTGCAGGTGTATACCTGAATGGAGGCCGACAATGGGCCCGAAGTCGGCAAACTGCACGTCATTTTTCCCCTTTCAGCGGGACGCGGATCAATCAAGCTGGCGGATCCTCTTTTGCGAAAAAAATCCATTGCCCTCGAGACACGGCCCGCTTTCAATTAAACGGCTGCTCGAACAAACGGCAAAAGCTCCCGTTTTTTCAACGAAAAAAAAAAAAAAACCTCACGCATACAGCTCTCGAATGAACGATCCAACGAGTTGAGGGGGGAAAAAAAGAAGCGACTGAAAGGGTGGGCGAAAACTTTCGGGGGTACGAAAACTTTGACGCACGCGAGGTCTTACGTATGCATTGGAAAGGAGAGCTTTTGAAAGCTTTAAATAGTGGGAGGTGGGGGGGACCTGCGCCTCTTGCGTGAGCGAAAAGTGGCTTTTCATGGATCCAGTGAGTTGGCGAAAATTTTCGGCGCCTCGGCAGCGCTGGCTGAACCGAAACGATTTATGGCTGACCGGACGCTGACTATTACTACTGGTAATACCGCTACTTCGCGCCTCCCGTCGAAGCCGAGTGAACTATTGATCGGGGGATTTTTTGGCCATTCGAGGAGAAAGTTTTCTCGTTGTAAATAGACGAGGAAATAACGTGTATCGAGTCGAGAGATTTAGTTTGAGCTTAGCTTTCATTTGAAATATCGGTGGGTGTAGTTGCTTCGTTTCCCCTCTTTTGACGTAAAAACGAGCTTTCCATTGGAAAGTAATTTTATGAAATAGGTTTCTACTCTCCAAAAAAGCTGAAATATTCATACTGATGGATCGCATGAATTTTCCTTGAATTTCCATACATTAAAAATTCACAAGGTTAATTTACGATCAAAAGGTAATAATTCACCAGCACCGGCATTAACGTGGATTAATACACACTTTCGTGCAAATAATTAAAATTGGTCGAGTAATGGGGTGGGAGAGAGTCGTATACTGAGCCCCTGTTGCGCGCTAAAACAATCGTTATGAAGTTAAACGGGGCAAAAGCAGCCCGAGTTTGATGAAATAATACGAGAATGTTTTACCTAATGAAAATAAACTTTGGACGCGAGCAAACTTTCGGCTCGCCCTTATTAGCCGTTCCCCGGAATGAACGCGAGCTCTGACTAAAAAAAAAGAGAGAGAGAGAGAGAGAAAAACCAATTAGCCAAAACTTTTTGCGAAAGTGAGCAGGCAGCTGATTTTTCTCGCCACGCGATGAGCTCGTTCGTTCGTTTTGATGATACCACACTATATATATACTTTCCCCGACGAGTCATACACACATGCACTAAAAGAGGGTTAGCGAGACTCAGATATCTGTATATTAGCACGGACGTGCACACACACATATACGTACGTACTAGAGAGCGCCAGGATTTCCCGCCGTTTGCAAGACGAATGGCTTTGCCCATTAGGCTTCCGTCCAGATGATGATATGCATGAGTCTCGAAGTGAGGAAGGAGGGGTAGAGTTGACTTCCGAGCTAAAATGACAGTATCTCTCACTCTGACGTGGCGCGTCAGGTACATACCACTGCACCCTCCCCTCACCCTGAAAACACGTATAATCCAGTGGTACGGATATATTCTCGCACGGATGGAGTTTAGTGCGGTGAAACCATATTGCGTGATGCAGCTCTCTACTTTTTTTTTTTTTTTACTGCGCGTTTTTGTGAATTTTTGGGCAAACAGGCTGCGTGTATGTACCTACGCGTCGGCTGTTCGTCTTTGTTTTATGGAAGCCTGGTTTTACAGCGATCGCAAAAAACGGACGTATTTTTTACGCCACGAGACTGTACAGCAATGCTTCTACATTTTTGTTCACCCCCAGATTTTTCGGCTCGAAGGATGCTATTTTGAACAACGTTTCAGTCACATTTTCATGAAAATGAAAAATCACTGCCCAAAGAACCCACGAGAGCATCCATTTCTTTTTTTTTTTTAAGTGAATACACGTAAAGTGAAACATTTTTTGTATAATACGTACACGATTGATAAATAAACTCGCAACCATCGTTCGGAAGGGAGGCATTGAAAAATCTCACCGTTATAAGCACGTTCGGTACGTTTTCACTTCTGTACTCGACCGCAGTTAAAGACCCACGTGTTAGAGTCGCGTATGAATATTACATGGCCCCGCGAGCGTTTCATCAACCGCTGACTTGGTTCGAAGCAAGAAACCCCACATTTTTTTCATCCCCTTCCACATACGTTCTCGGTTCTCTCACATCTGCTTTTCTGGCCATGAGAATTTTATGAGCTCGAATCCGCAGACGCTTTTTCTCCCCCAACCCCCGTGAGGTGCAAGGAGATCGTGCTTTTTTTCAAATTAGGGGACTTGGATCGATCGGTGCTACTGGAACGTGACGTGCTGGTATATATTTTTTTTTATTGTGCCATATTTTCCAGTTGTGCTCGCAGGTTTCGGCTGCACACGCAGTCGTGATTCTCGAGATATACGAATATTTTTTTGTCATTTGCAAAAAGGGAGAGAAAATCGTCACTATTTCACAGAGTCTTTTATCCCCGGCAGGCATATTTCGTGGATAGCGTTTTAATTTTTTTAAAAGCCTCGCTTTTTGCGTGCCCGCGGTAATAACACGCAGAAAACAATTGGAGCGCGAGTTAGTCCGCACACGGTATTTAAAAAGCACGAGCTCTCTCCCTCTGCACGGTACGCTGAGA